TTCAAACCTGTATAAACAAAATTACCTCCCACTCTCCTGACGAGGGCATCTACCTTTGTAAATAAAGCTTTAACCATATTGAGTGATCAGGGATCTTCGTAGGGTCTGTACTGAGAACTGTTGGAATCCATCAGCCTCCTAACCTATTTTTGGCAAAGGTTATGATCACTATATAGGTTAACATCCATATCTTCATCATCAATCTTTGTTAAAAATATTTCACTACAATTGTCTTTCAAATCCAAGTAACTAATCCAAACTCCAGTTATTCATAATTCTAGACTATGACATGAGGGATAATTTGTTTACTCAAATAAAAACTAACTATAGAATTAATGTTAGTGTATGCTGACATAATATCCATGCTATGTGATTAGCAGCTGTCAGAGATCAGTTCCATATTTGGGAAATAATTTCCTTATATTCTGAAACATTTTTTGGGAAATAAAAGAAAGGAGTTATTAAAATAAAATAAAAATTTATAGTGATCATTGAAAAAGAATTTTGGGGTCATCACCTTATGTCTTTTTTTGAGGTGGTACTAGAGTTTGAACTCAGAGCCTCACACTTGCTAAATAAGTAGTCTACCAAATGAGCCATGCCCTCATCCCTTTTTGCTTTGGTTATTTTTGAGATAGGGTCTTGCTTTATGCCCAGGCTGGCCTGAACCATGATTCTCCTATTAGCCTTCCCACCCAGCTTTTATTCATTGAGATGGATTCTCATGAACTATTTGCTGGGACTGGCCTTGAATGGCAATCCTCCCAATCTATGCTTTCTGAGTAACTAGTGTTACAGGCTTGAGCCACTACCCTCGGTCTTAACCTTGTTTATCTTCATATAATTAAAGATAAATCATTACCTGAGTTTTGCTATTTTTCCTTGAACTAGTAATCACTGCTCGATACAAAATAAAAGTGGTATTCTACTGTAATTTAGAAAAATATTTTAGAATTTTGTTCATAAATTTTAGTAGAAAGGCTTGTAGTTTGTGTCTTAGGTTAAGAACCATAAGGAACACACTGATTAGACTAATAGATGTTTAAACTAATTTCACAAATGATATTATTCAATAATTAGTATATAAACCTTATATATTATTATAATTCCCAGTACCTACATTATATTGGCTAAATTTTCATTATCCAAGTAAAATCTCTTCATTAATTTAGAAAGAAAAAAGTGGTTTGAACTTAATTATATAATAACTAGGGTAGCTTATTTTTAAATTACATAATCTTTGTTGTTAGTCAATTTTCCCATCTTCCTGTTGAAGACACTGAGGTTTAGAAGAAAAAAAATGAACACTGAATACAGAAGGCACTCAGTCAAAGTGTGATATAACCAATGCTAATCTAACTGACTAATGCTGAATGTGTATTGATGAATGAAAGTACTTTGTCTACACAGCAGACTCCTGCTTGTGTTATTTCCCAGTCTCTTGTCCAGGCCTCATGACATTAAAGGAGCTGCTAAAGCATAATTAACTGAACAAAAGGGAAACTTTACTAAGAAAGAGGCAATTCACAGGCCATTATTAGTTTAAAATTGTCATCTAGGAGACCTTCATTTCCCAATGCTTGATTTACAGGTAACTTATGACAGGTCCCCTTTCTTGCTAGGTTCTCATCACTTCAATCTACCTTCAATTGGTACCCACTGTCCAACATATAATGCTCATTCTGACCTCTGTGTCTTTTGTTTCCCTGTCTAGAATGTTTTTTCCTTCTATGAAAGTTCTACCCAGACTGAATCCTATGAAGCCCTTCTGTACAACCCCAGCCCACATTAATCTGTCCAAACTCCTACACACCTCATTGTCTCCATCACTCATTCAGTCATTGAATCACATGTAACCATATTATTTGTCTCATGAATCTCACATCCTCAACATTACTACAAGTTTTTCAAGGACAGAAATGCCTCTTTTACAGACCACATATGGACATTAAAAAAAGGAGGCTAGAACACTGTTTTGCCCAAAACAACTATGTTGACGTTTAACTGAAATATTAGAAGTAGCTATAATATAAAGAACAGCGCTAGGTTAGAGTAAAAATGTCTAAGATAATACTGGCAAATAAATCTTAAGCCTTAAACAAATATTCATTTTATGTCATTTTTTCCTTTTACAAAATCAGGTCCTGTCAGGAGTTGATGCCATGTGAGGGAGGAGGATGTGGGGAAAGGGTGTAGGAGGATGACTGTGGTGCAAATAATGGGTACACATGTAGTAAACGGAAAAATGAGACCTGCTGAAACTGTTCCAGGAATGGGGGGAGAGGGGATAAAGGAGAATGGTGGAGGGGATGATACATTTGATATGTTGTAAGAATTTTTGTAAATGCCACAATATAACCCCAGCATGATAATTAAAAATAAATACACATTTAAAAGATCTGTAGGCAAAAGGATAATCATAGTAGAAATTCTAATTTTATATTTAGAACTTTGAAGCCATCTTTAAGTGGAAAAAGTTAAAAACTGCTCTTAAATTCAAACTTATAATTTATAATTCAGTGGTAATACTTAAAAATATCTGCATTCCTGCTAAATTGATAAAGAACATCATATTGGCTGTGTAAACAACACAGCAAAAAACAACTTTCAAGATCTATGACTTGACTACACCTATTCTTACACAGATGCAACTGGCATATTAAGATGTCAGTTTTTCATTAGAAACAAGTATGTACACCATAAGAAGCAATTTTAAAAAGTGTCGTTAACTAAAGTGATTTACATATACACATATGGACTTAAAGGCCTTACTTATAATATTCATCATGAAATTTATCTTCCCATTTCCCATTTCTCTAGAAAGCACATTTCCTCGGACATATTCTTCAGGAATTGTCAAAAATAATGTTTTCCCTTAATGCCTTAGTCCCTCTACCTTTAAAAGTGGGTGGCAAAGGCAATGCTTCTACCTGTCAAATATGTTACTTTATATTATTATTAGCAAATTCATCAGAAAGCCATAAAGACCAAAGGACGAGAAAAATGAACTAAAAGGAAAGCTACAAAGTGAAGTTCCTTCAAATGCAAGCAGTGGTATTAAGTATACTAATAAAGCAAATGATAAATGTGAGACCAAATACTAACTGAAATGCCACTACTTTGTAACACACTTAAAAATGGTTGTTTATCATTCTAATGCCTTTAGTCTAATTTATTAATAATTTTCAGTAAGTTTGGGAAAATAACCCAAAGCCTAAATTAGACTTTCTTATAAATAGCTCTGTACATCTCTAATATATGTTTGTAAGGTTAATTTTTAAAGTATTTTCAAAATTCCTATGAAAATGAGTTGCTTTTAGTAAAGCTGATATCATGTACCTCTCAAAAATAAGTTAGCCATTTTGCTTAGAGTTAACAATACTGTGTACTTTAAAGTTTGCTATGAGTATAGATTTCATTATGTTTTTGTCACGATAAAAATTGAGAAAGTAAAATTTACTAGAATCAGCATACATATATACGATCAAAGATGAACTGATTAACAAAAATGCTGACACTCCAGTTGTCTATAAAAATGTAATTTGAAAATTAGGTTTATAAGAGACATTGGAGAGAAAAACACATAAAATATAAGTATGTGCCTTCATATAACTGTACTGTACAGTTAATCAGAAATTATAGTTGAGGGCTATGGCTCAGTAGTTGAGTGTGTGCCTACATTCACATGGTCCTGGATTCAATTCCCAGTACTGCAACAAAAAGAAAAAAGAAATTAATGAAAGAAAGGGAGAGGCAGAGGGAGAGGGAGAGAGGGAAGGAGGGTCTATACATTATTGGCCCCATAAGCTTTGTTATGAATAATAACTAGGAGCAAACTATATAAAAGAAATTTCATACATCTAAGTAGAGGCTATTAATATATAAATCCATACACCTAAAAGTAAAGACATATTTGAATACCTGAGGCCTTACAACTACATTCATAGACAAGAAAAATACAAAAGCACAATGATGAGAGACATTTATGTTGTTTGGTGTATACTAAAGCTACTTGTCTCGCAGTTCCCAAACTTAGGTATAGGCCTCATTGTATGAATGGCTTTCAATTGTAGTAGGTCCTCTAATATTACTGAACTTCATGCTGTGCATTTGTTTCTGATAGAAATAATATTTTTAACAAGAGCACTATGACCCTTAGTTCTAAAAGAGGGACATCTAGGTGAACATAACGCAAAACATGCTTCTTGGAGCACTCCGCTCCAAACCATGCACTCTGTCTCCCTTTTCTTTCCTAAATCCAGGTTTCACATCACTTGACTATAATTCATTTTTCTCCCCCGGTTCCCATGTGCCCTCTATTCTTTCCCCAGCCCTGTGTGACTCTTCCTCCACATAGCCAATGCTTTCAGTGTGGAGGAGTGGATTTGTATAAAGCAACTTTCCAGACAGTGCAGTAGTATGAGGAGTTTGTGGAGTAAAACACACCACAAACCACTATCACTTCATTAGTGTAAGAGAAATAGAAGTCATATCATTGCCATTTGTTCGTGAGGGTTTTTTGAACTGACATGAAGAGTGGATCCTTGAACTGAACAAAAAAATTTTAACCACTGACTGCCCCACACCTATTCCTAATGTCAAAGAGCTATTCCACAAAATCAAGTACCTGGCCAAGCTAATGGCAAGTATTTTTCATTGTCTGTTCTGTTTTAATGCAAAAAGAAGTCGTGGCAAGATTTTTTAAAAATTATTTTTATAATGGGGAAATTCACGAAATAGGTTGAGGGCACTACTCTGACATGGACAACTTCACGAGATTCTTCTTTAGTGAATAAATCACCAATACCATCTTCCACTTACATTTAAAAAGGATGTTAAAAAGCACCTATCATCTAAACACTTCATCACTGCTTAAGATCAGCACACACGGGGTATTTGCCTTACTATATATAAGTTATGTACTGAGGTCCAAGTTTTACCAGCTATTTAACTTAATTTGCACCCCAAAACACCTCTAATTAACTTTGTAGGTGTTGAGATACTACAAGCAATAATGATGTCACAGAAAAGAACCACACTAATGTGACTAGCACATGAGCATTTCTTTGAGAGAGACAGTGCTGTGAGTCCCCTAGATCAAAGGCACCAAAATCAACTTTTCACAGATTCTACCCTACAAGAATGACATAAAGTTCCACTAACACCTGAAGCAAAGCACAGAATCTGATTTTACCACCTTGCAGCAATCCAAAATCCTAATGGAAGATATGTTTCTAAAACTGCATATCACATGCTTATAGATTACATTAAAATATGTGGAATGGCAAGGCAAACTATATAGGCTGTTAAGTCAGTCTCACTACTTTCCATTACTAGAGAGCTGGTCAGCATCTTCTGGCAGGATATTGCATAATACAGTCAACTGTGCTCTCCCAGCATTGCAAGTGGCTTTGGGTCACAGTGTGGATTATCTGTAAAATGAAACACATAGGGAAAAGGCAAGAATCATCAAGACTATCACAGACCTTATTGAAAAAAACTAGTATTAGTAGACCTGAACTTAAGCAGAACTTTTCACATTTGTCCATCCACTAAGATTGTAAAGATCATAAAGCAATATTGGTTAATCCTGTCAACTGGTAACATCTATCCTTCATTGTTAAGCAAAGCTGCAAAATAGATTTGGCTTAACTCAAACTATTTTACTTTCTAAGCTTGAGGACATAGAGACTAGAATCTAGTACTTCATAATACTCCTAGTCCTTCAAATATTTCCTTTAATTGAAGCTCTGAAATGGTCCTCCATGAGGCTCTATTTTGCTGATGGCTCTGTTATGATATACACATAAAGAAACACAAGATTCAACGATGACTTTACAAACTGAGACTGAGAAAATGTATAAACCTTCATTAGTGAAACAACATTCTGCCAATTATTTTTACTAGTAGTACAAAGCTAAAAACTATCACTGATCTCTACCCATCTGAACAATTCAAAGTCACAATGTGGGCAGGGGGAAAGAGAGAGCTGCGGTGATCCCAAGAGACCAACCAAACCATCACAATAGCTATATAGCTCCTCTGTGGTTCTGCTAATTCAAAAACAAGTAGCATTTAGTAACTTCCAACACTTGGAACTACACATATGAAGACAGATGAATTCACCTGCCGAACTATTTGTTTCTTCCCAGTTTCCTTTAGTGGCACCACTGGTTCCCCAGCCTTACAAACGCTGAATAACCTTCAAAGCCTCCAGTCCCTCATTTCCCCTAGAGAGAATTTGGTAGAGTGGGTATTTTTGTTTTTATTTTTTTTCTTTCTTCAATGACTCTTTATTCACATGCAGTCACCTAATTTCAGATCCTCATTTAAAAGCTAACCCAGCTATCTTGATACTTGATCAAAATTCTATAAATCAATATATCTTCTCCTCCTTTCTCCCAAATCAGATGCAGTTGGGAATAGGTGAAGAGTGAGAGAGGAGGGTTCTTGTGATCAAATTTCATAGCCATTCCAACAGAGCTGTTTAACAAACTTCCTGAATACAAGAATAGCTAGGCACAGAGCCAAGAAAAGAAGCAATGATGGAAGCCAAAAAACAGGTGAGCTGCAATCTTTCCACTCCTACACAAAACCTGGCCCTAGAGTAGGAGTCCCTGCATGTGCTGATAACTACTTTCAATTCTTAATTTTGTAACATCACACACTCTGCCCAAGGGTGGCTTTCCACATTTTTCAATACTAGTTTTTCTGCTGTTTTTATAACCTTAAGATGAGATGGTCTCCCCTATCTTAAGATTATTCTTCTTCCAATATGCCTTATATTCTAGAGGACTCTTCTGCAAATTCTCTTCTCTTCCTCAATACAAAAAATGATAATCAGTTGCAAAATCTAGTCTTATCCAGTCTTTCCTGAGGGTTCCCAACACAAAGGCTACTTTTAATTTCCTTGAAGTTTTATGATCTTAGCAACCAGAGCAAAAGGGAGTGGTATAAAGAACGCTGAGAGTGCAAGTTGCTGACTGAAGACAGCTGCTGGGAATCCCCAAGTACTCACTAACTGTGGCAAGGGGTGTGGTGGTGACAGCAACTGGTTTGAGAACAACCAAGTAAGACTTCAAGATCTTCTGGTCATACAGGCTATTCACCAGTAATCTCTACTTTTTCCATTTAAAAACTTGACTCAAGTTATCCCCTCCCAAAGGCCTCCTTCCTGACCAATCTTTTATTCCATGTTATTTTCATACACATGCATTTTATCTGTATCTCACTGATCTACAATCATATCATATCAAGCTATGATATTTGTATCATAGCTTGAACAAGACTATAAGCTCAAGGCGCCCTCTCTTGGGAACCCCCAACCCTGGGGGGCTCTACTCTCCTGCTTTACACTTTTCAATAAACTCTCCCACTTTACACTTTTCTATCTCAATAAACTCTGCTGCTTTGCTCACAAAAAAGAAAAAGGAAAAAAAAAGACTATATGCTCTATGAAGCCAAAACAATTTCTTCTTTTGCTGGTTTCTGACTATAGAACTCAGCATAATATATATATCCTTTAAAAAAAACAGGGTTTTTTTTTCCAGTGACATATAATTTCGACTCAGCTATTCAACACTAATACTTTTAAGGTTGAGCAAGTTTAAAAGTATATTAAAAGCTGCAGAAAATACACCCCCACACAATACAGAAGATGCCACTTAAGTGTTGGACCAAACATAAAATATGCTCCACTCAATGAACTCTACTATTACACCATACTTCTTCCTTTGGATTTTTTTTCTTTATACTACATAAGCTTGTGGGTCATTTTTGCCCTTAGCAACACTAACTAGAGAAGCTCAACTCTAAGTAACCTTACTACTGGGAATCTACTTTTCTCACCTACCCAAACACAGGCTTCCTGCAGTCTCCACTAATCTGCGAGCAACTGCCCAATTACTGATTGTGGAAAGACAGCTTACACATTGAAGGTCCATTCTTGGCAGCCGCTGAGTTTTACTGCTGGCCCTCACTTACTCAGCTTAATTGATTCAGAACAGTATCAAAAGGAGACATTATTATACCAGTTTGAAAAAGAGGCTATTTAAGAAAATTTAAATGTAAAAACCCTGGTCATTGTACTGCTTTCAAACAGGCATGCATGTGTGACATGGAGAGAACAGAATAATGCCTATTGAAATCCAGAAATCTTGGGAACTTTGACCAATCAATCTCATTACACAAGTTTCTATGCTTTACACATATATATTCTCAAAAAGTAAAATTATCCATAAAGGGGAAGCATAGATGACTTTAAAAATACAATACAATGTAGTAAAAAGTTTCAGTGCAAACAATGCAAATTTAGTTCCAAAGACTGTACAATTTCTTCAAGACAACAATGTGAAAATTAGTATGTTTCTCAAAAACATACTTAGAAAAACAACTCATGCATGTGTTACCAGAGCATTTCACTTTTTCAGTAGTGGTCTTTCCACTGAACTGAAAGATCCCAGCAGAGATTTCTTAGCTGCCACCCATTAACTGGAATCGGAATGCAGCACAAATACAATTAATGAGCAAGAAAAATTATGGGTTAGATTATCACTCCTTTACCATATGGGGAAGAAGGTAAAATAAACATTAAGCTTTATTTTTTAACTAAATACACTTTGTCCTACACACACCTTTATGCACAGATATAAAAATGATTTTGTAATTTGTATTTCTACATCTTTCCATGTCAGTCACTGATGGTTTTATTTCATAAATGACAACCGGAGACATGCCTTTTTTTCTATCAGTACAATAGAGCATCCAATTGTCTTCCAGTGTAAATCAACATTGGTGAAAACAACCATATTAAACCTCCAAAAAGGCTCAATAATTTTCAGACAATGCTTTTCTTTTTTAAGAGAATCTATGTATTAAAGACAGAGAATGGAAGTTAGTACCATCGTGAACAAGGAAATCTGTCATGGCCTAGTAGCATCATGTACAATAGACAGATACATTTCCCAGCTATTCTGGCCAGTCCTCCTCAAAAAGGACATAATAGGAATATAATAGTCCGTGTTCAAAATGCTGATTTAATATCACTTTAACCTGAGCTGCATTATCAAATCATCTTTTTGACAGCACAATAATAAGATTGCTACTGTTCTGGTGAAATATAAAGTGCCTACATCCTAAGCACAACCCAACTCCTCCTCCCAAATATGCTAAAAACAGTAATTTGACTACAGTGGCAAGAGAAGAAAGAGTTAACTGTTCAAACACCAGGTAGAAGTCTTTCAAAATCCAAATGTCTAAGAGTGGACTTATTTTAAAAGATATGTTTTATTCACTACAACAGAAAACCACACTTACTGATACTTAATAGTAAAGCATCTTCTACATGCCAAGGTCTACACAAAATGTAGATTACAATAATTTCCAAGGTTGTAAGATGATTGAAATAAAAATTTCATGTGACAGATACAAGATTGAACAATCCCAGTGCCTCAAGAGGATCCTTTCATATCTCTCGTTAATGAGGGATTCTTAAAATGAAATCTCGAAAGCATAAATATAAATAAAAACATTTAAAATCTTATCACAAGATATTCCTTAGTGAGGTAATCATAAAGGTATTTTTATAGGAACAAGAAGGGGGATTATCTATTAAATAGAATAGGTAGAATAAGGTAGAATTTACTTTAAAATATCTTATTTGTGCTGCTTTTATCTCCTGCAATGTACCCTTCACATATAATAATTTCTGAAAAAGGACCTAAAAATCATACCACAGGTTTCTAAGAGTCACCCTACACCCACCTCCAACTGAAACCATCCCCAGAACCTCAGGTTCATGCTCTTAATAGCACTCAATTTCCTGGATGCTACATTAGAATGAACACAAAAAAAGATAGGAATACAGAATCGGGAAGTTTTATACTGGAAACTGGCAGCCAAAACCACCATTCCTTGACAGTCACTCAAGAACCTATTCAGGTCCTCACTTCCCAATAGCCTATTGGTTCTTAACACGTGACCCTGGGAACTGGCGTATAAGCATCACCAGGGAGCTTGTTAGAAATGCAAATTCATAGCCCCACCCCACACCAACCAAATCAAAGTCTGGGAAAGCGGCCTGCAATTTGTATTTTAACCAGCACTACAGGAGATTAAGATGTAGGCTAAAGTCAGAGAACCAGTCCTCCTCAAACTTTAATGTGCATAAGAACCACCTAGGGAGCTAGTTAAACTGCAGATTCTAATTCAGGAGGACTGAGGTGGGCCTGAGAGCTATATTTCTAAAGAAGTTCCCAGCTGACATCTTCTACAGACCACATTGCAAGTCTTTCCCAAATTTGTTTCCCAAAATTAACCCCGGGATGCTCACAGAATACAGAGTCCATGGCACTATTGTAGACCAAATTAATTAATCCAAATCTCAAGAGAAAGACCTAGAAGATAACCAGCAGCTCTCCACCCCAGCTACACACAAAAATTACCTGAAGAGCATTTAATAATGCTGATTTCCAGATACCATCCAAGATCAATTAAATCAGAATCTCTTGAGACTGGAGCCCAGGCATCCATATTTTTAATAACTTCCCCAACAATTCCAATGTGCAGACACGGTTGAGAAGGAATACTCTGGAATCTAACTGGCTCAACACTTGGCACAGTGGATCCCTTTTCAGTAGCAAACAGGTTCCCATAAATTGCTATCTGAGCTCCCTCACATATAACTCAAGAGCTCTGATTTTTGTATAATAGAATATGTTTTTCTCGTGTCTTAAACCTTACTTCTGTAGACAAATGTGCTCTCTGCAATGGGGTAGGTACTCAAAGGCAGCAGCAACAGTGAAGAATTTGTATCTGTATGGCCTGTTCATATATTGATACCTCCCCCCAACCCTGAAACACATAGATCAGTTGAAATTTCTAATAACCTTTCAGAGTGGAAGGGTAACTGATGTATCTGTAACTTCGAAACCTATAAAAGACAGATTGCATCAGTTACAGACATTCTGACACAAAGATCCTGGGAAGGGATGAAAAATATGTGCTTTGAGAATTTGAAATTGTCAAAAATACATCTTCTGGTGGACAGAGACAGGACCTGAAACATACAGCTCATTCTATGACACTAGCAAGTGAAAGAAAAAAAAAGCCCAATGTCTAGTTCTCTTAGGCACCTAGTGTTATGCCACACTAATGTGCACACTATACTGTTAAGTATGTAAAACAGAATAATGCCGGGTGGTTACTAAGACATTGTCAACTAGTTATTTTTCTTCTGTAATTAAGAAAGTTTCCTGAATTTTACATAGTACACTTCAAAAATGAGCCTAAGATAAATGAAAATAAGACACAGGCCTCGTTCCACAAAAATGAACTTTCATTCTCTGCTTGGTGATGTTCACTGTCCACGCTAAATTAGTTGTTCTATAGAATATATGGTACACTCAGGGCCTACTAAATGATAATAGTTATTATTCTTCCACCACCATTTCAACATGTGGTCAGAAGTATGTCATAAATTTATCTGTTTAACTCCTTAAAAAAGAAATCCAGTGGCTTGGGTATTAGAAGAGAAACAACATAAATCCATTTGCAGAGTGGCCACTGTTAAAATTACGTTTTCAAAAGCATTTTCTGTAATGACCTGGTCAAGCTCACTTTCCTCTTAAAATTCTTGTTACAGTCATTCAGTTAACCCAAACTCACTTTAAAATGTGTGAAAATAGCACCTCCTGAAAGTGTGTTCTCATATGCTTTGGAGCAATGGAGCGTGAATACTAAAGCAGCCTTTGCCAAACTCATGTAACAGCTCAAGAACTAAACAGGAGTGGATTTTTACAGTCCCGTGACTTTTTAGAGCCAAACTATGTATCATCCCAAGACTGGCTTGAATATATCAGACATCCAAGAGAAGGCAGAAAAGTCACCAGTAAGTGACCAAGCTAGTAAGTATCGCAAAGATTTTTTTTTGTGTGACAGTTTTTCTCAAATTTTACTTCTTAATCAAAAAATAAATAAGCTAAGCAAAGGTGCAGGCTTAGAATTTAATCTCCTAGAATTAACATTATGAAATTTATAAAGATATTTATCTGACAAAATATCCACCTGGATGCCTTTTCATACATTTCTCATAAGCCAATGGCCAAGGATGATCCAAGTCTAAAAGAAAATGCACAGACCACAAAGAGTCACACAAAATTAAAGACATTTAGAGTATCAAAGCCAAAGAAAACAAGCAATACATATCCATAATTTCCAGGACACTTTATTGTAATTTCTACTTTACATAGAATTTAATATTCTGAGTATAGGCAGAAGTGTTTATACTTATTCAGTAAGTAGTTCAATCCCCTTAATCATGTAAAATGAAAAGAAGCAGTTTAAAAAGACCATCAATTCAGGTATTTATGATATAGGAAACAGGAGTACCTGCCTTAAGTAGAAAAAACAGTTAATGAATTTCAGTATGAGTTCCACTGTAATGTTTCTCTTATTTTTCCGGTTGATGCTAAAACAATCGTTCATTCTCCCATTCTACCCTCTCTTGGTCTTTACATGCTGTCTAGCATTTAACTCGAAAAGTCAGTTTACACTCAGTTTACACATCTTTCATAAAAAACCATATGCCTCATCTCCCACACATCCAAATGGACAAGGATTAGAAGTAACCTGGCGTTTAGCTCTAACAGTGCTATTTTAAACAATTTCAACCACACACTTGGAAGAGTAAAATAATTTAAAGTACAATACCAAAGGAAACTATAAAAATGCCTACACATTTATTGTTGGATTATTTAACTACTTCTCAAACCGTTGAATAGAACATAGTGAAATCGACACAAAAGCAAATGCACGGTTAAGGTACAAATTGACAGTGCATCTGTGGGGACAGCTCTCTTTGAATGAGCTATTACCCAGACAGTGAAATGAAAAAAAAAAAAAAAGTCTCACTCTTCAAATGTGAGGAAGCCGGCGGTGTGCCTGCTTCACTAGAAATACATTTCAATGGGTATGATCGGATAAAAATAGATAGTAAGGCAAAAACGTGTTTTTAAAAAACCTCTTTCCTCCTCAAAAGCACAAGGAAATGCGGAGGAAAAGCTGGGTAACCGAAAGCTCGCGAGCTAAGTTCCATCACTAGCAGAATCGAAGTTGGATAGTTGCTATTTTTCACGGTGCACTGGGATAGTAGCTCTCCATGTGCAAGGTACGCGAGGCGGGAATACTGGCGGGACTTTCACACTGGGTAATGGGAAGCAAAGTGAGGAGAGGTCAGCACCATGACTGATCCCGATCTGCCAAACCAGGACGGTGTAGGGGGTGAGGGTGGCAAGAAGATTAAAAGCAAGCGTCAAAACTCCTGGAAGTTATTGCAAAGAGGAAGCAAACACCTCTGGGAAGCCAGAAAGCCGTCTGAAGCAGCAGCACCCTGCTCCAAGTGTGGGGTGCTTGCCTTGTGGAGCAGAAAGCGCGAGGTGCTCTTTACTTAGGTCGAGTGGCTCCAGGGGACCCGGGCAGCGACAGGGGCTGGGGCAACTGCAGGCGGGGACGCGGACTCGCACTTTCCCTCAACTCTGAGCCCCATCCCGAGCGCAGGGGAGAGGGTGGCTGAGGGCACGGTACTCACTAGGGTTCGTTGGTGAACCTGGGGGTCCGGGGTTGCTGGTATCCATACAGGTGACAGTAGAGCACATCGAAGCAAAAGCAGCACATCTCCGCTGACACCACCATCTTCCGGGAGCCCGGCGATGAGGACGAGGCGGCGGACGATGAGGAGGGAGAGGAAGCGGTGGTGGCGGCCGGGGTAGAAAGTAGGGTCCCCACTCCGCAGCTCAGAGGTGGCGACAGGGAGATCCCCCCGCCGCCGCCGCCGCCGCCGCAGCCCTGGGGGGGAGAGAGAGTACAGCCGCTGCCGCTGCCTCCTCCGGTTAGACCTCCCAGCCCGTTGAGCCTGGTACTGGCGCCTCCTAGTCCCAACTCCCCAGCTCGGTACTGACTCTCTCCGCTGCAGTGGGAGGAGGAGGAGGCGCCACCACCGCCACCCGAGCCAGAGGGGGGCGAACTGGACAGTTTCTGCTTCTTCACCCCACAGCAGCCCGCCGCCATCTTGGAACAGTCTCCCCCACGCAGCGCTTCCGACCCATAAGTGAGGCGAGCTGGCGGCGGGGGCGAGCACGCTGCGGCCCCGGCCGCCGGGGGCGCGCTGGGGGCTCGCGGGGCGCGTGCGCGCCGCTCCTTGGCCAGGCTGCCCGGCCACGCGGCTGCTCGTGCGCGCCCCGCCTCGGCGCGCGCCATGCGCTTCAGTGGCTTAGCGCCTAACGCCTGTCCCGTCCGACTCGTGTCTCTTCAGAGTCCACAAGTCCTGCATCCAGCAGAGGATGAAGAAGGGAAACCTAATAGAAAGGAAGGTGAAGGAAATGAGAGCGAGACAGTGGAGAGTAGATGTGAAGGAAGGAGGTGGGCACGCCAGGGAGAAGGAGGAAAAGGAAACTATGGAGAGAAGAAAGAAGAAAGTCCGAAGTAAGCATCCAAGTCCCAAAGCACAGCTCGGTGACCCCCGCTGAACGCAGTGTTAGTGACACTTGAGCCCAGATACGTGGAACCTGAGCCATCTGGCCTCAAATACGCTGGTTCTGAACTGTTGAAGTGTGAGCAAGCAGCTGCTGCTTGGAGCTCCGCACCTGAGACAGCCCCTGTAAAGTACAAGAGCAGTCGGGGAAATGGCCACTCGGCAGTGTCTTTAATGCCAACCTAAGTATACCCCACGGCTTTTCTGAGATTACGGTAATTTTTTTTAAAAAGACGTACTCTTTCTTAATCGACAAATAGTAAAGCCTAATCAAATGTCTACATTTTCCACTTGTTCCCCCAACTTTCCCTCCTAGTCCCATGAATACATTGAAAAGCAAAAAATAAAGTCCTCACCAAAAACTCACCAATTCAAAGATGTTAATTGTGCTTTGGGACTTGCAGCAGTGTTTCAGGTTTTGATTTTTTTTTTTTTTTGGTTTGAGAACAAAGCAATTTGAAATATATCTGTAGTTGACAGATATTACAGGTAACTAAGGCAAATCTTACAGGTAACTTAGTCACAAACTGGAAGATTTTGTTTAGGTATATAACTAGATCTTAATACTCATTTTTTTAAATTTCTCAAGTAAAAATGCTTGGATGAATGAGGAGGTGGATGATTGAGTCAATGCCATTCTGGGCACCTAAGACACAGCTTTAAAATGACAATAATCAGATGTTAAACTGCATAGGAATTAACCTGATAGAAACTATGTGATTTGCATTGTGTCTACACTATGCCAAAACATCTAGACAAAGTCAGGTGTCTGCATATTTGTAAACAGAGCAAGATTGATGGATTTTGACACCTTTGATCTAAATGTGTTGGACTTTGCTGTTCTTTTCAGTCAGGAAAAATTTTTATTCATTCAGTGAATATTAAGCCTTTGTACACATATCATGTGCACAACACTGTGTTCGAATCCAGGGCACACAGAGGAATATGGTCCCCACTCTCAAGGAGTTATAAATTAAGTCAGATCTGCGTACATAATCAGAATAAATACCAACTGTTTATTGAGAACTTTTTAGGTGCCAGTACTATGCCTTCTCTTATTTCATAATCTTAGAAAATAATATATTATCTCATTTGATTTTCACAGAACGGCTCTGAGGTTGCACATTTTTTGGGTGGTGCTGGGTCTTGAACTCGGGGCTTCACACTTGCAAAGCAGGCACTCTACCACCTGAGACATGCCTCCAGTCCTGAGGTTGCACGTTTAAACCTCAAAAATAACTTGCCCAACATTACACACCTACAAAGTGACAGAATCGGGATTTGAATACAGGCATGTCCAATTCTAAAAACCCATGCCATAGGCTGGGAGTATAGCTCAGCGGTAGAGTGCTTGCTTAGCATACACAAGGCCCTGGGTTTGATCTCCAGCATAAATAAACTATACCATTCTGCTATGCTGCTTCTCAATAGCGATATATAATAGCTATGTTAATGGTAGCCAAAGACATTAAACTATAGCAGGTAAAACCAAGATTAAACAAAAATTAGAACTTATTTTTATGGAAATAGAGACATTGAAATGTTACCAAAGAAAAATGAACAATCTCCTTCCAAAAAGATTTTGTGAAATAGAAAGATCAATTGAGATGGTTAGATGCAGCCTAAAAACAACAACAAAAAAAAGATGGTCTAACTGATTTGTGATATGTGATTTCATCTCAAACCTCATCATCACTGTTAGAACTAACCTTAAGTTTGAGGCAAATAACAACTCATTGTCCACTACTATTGAAGTAAAAAATGCACTAATTTTTCCTATGTTCAGAAGAGAAAACAAATTGTTTTTTAAAGATAAAAGCACCACAATAATTGGCACATGGTTAAGGTGTTTTATTTTATTTTACACTTTATCCTTAGATATCACAGCCTACTTTTTGTTTGAAATTGGATCAACATTACACATTGTACTCATGTATTGAATTTTAATACTGTACCCCCTTTACTAAATACAAATATGTCAATTAAAAATAAAATAAAGAATTGTTTAAAGAAAATCATAACTATGAGAAGTGATGAGCATGTTAACTATCTTGATTAAGGTGGTCATTTTACAATGTACACATATATTAAAACATCAATTGTACACCTGAAATATATACATGTACTAGTCAATTAGACTTCAATAAAGCTAGAGGAAAAAACTGGATCAAATATAATATTAGACAATAGGTACTGATTTGCTCCTCACCCCACTGAGAATGATCACTTGTAGAGTAGAAATTCAAAGCTATTTAATGACATCACACAACAGTTTAGCACAGGAAGTAAAGTAGGATGCCATGCTTCTGCTTCTTTCTGCTAGGGGAATTTAAGAAAGCAGAATGCAATCTCTCCCAATTTAGAATTTGGCCAGTAGACAAGAGTCTAACGCCCCTACTCTTGTGAAAATAGCAAGGAATCTTTAATAAGCACCAGTAGTCATGTCCTTAGTTCTGCATTTCATCTACAAGACAAAACACTATCATGGTTATTGTGCCAGGTAAAGGGACTGATGCAATGGGAAACCCAAAGACAAGAATACTCCAGCTAAATTACAAAAATAGCTTTTCCCCCAAGGATTTTTAATTCCAATTCCAAAGCTCACTAGCATAAGGAACATAGATAGACAAACCCAAACATGATCATTGCAGAGAAGACATCATTACCTGACCACTATGGGTTACTCATCCGAAGTACTTTATTAGCTACAGGAAGAGAAAATACTAACCTTCTTCTCTGTGTTAACTTTTAACTTGGCTCATCTCCCAAACTAACCTTGAGCTTCAAGATACTTTATAAATCCCCTGGCAAGTAGTGGTGGTGGTGGTAATGCCTCCTTTTATCCTTTGTGGAAATGCCTTTCCTGGCCTTGTTTTCTTGCAGTCACCAGCACAGAAACAAACATATCTCATTCAAACCTAAACAAATCCACAGAACAAATTTTGCAAAAGTGTTTTTTTAAATATCTATACAAAGCACATAGTGGATAGGAAAACTGACCTTGCTCAGGGTTCTCTTGAGTTGAAGTATAAAGGTCAAAGTATGATAGAGCACATGTGTTTCTACCCTCTGCTGATACTGGAGTGCAATGATAATAACCCTCCAGAAAAAATGCTAAGGTGCCTTCTGCTCTTTGTAACTATCCTTCAAGCTGGGAACTAAAGATTCCACATTTCTATTAAATACAAAAGTAAATAGGCTATGGTCTCTTTGTCAACAAAGCACATTCAAATTGTAAGCATTTCTCCTTCTACATCTGCCTGTAAGCGGCTTTTAACTAACTTGTCAAATATTTTGTTTTTACAACTGTGAGAAAACCACTCAGAACCAATGTACATTATTTACTATGTGGTAAAACAGGAAATTGAATTAAACCTGATAGTTACTGATTGTTTTATCATTGCCTCAATTTATTCTCATTTTTACAACAATATGTTTTCATTTCAGAAAATAAGAATAATTGTAATTTGATGAGATAGTGAACTTGTTAATATTGTAAAATTATTTTCCTAGGTTTCTAGGGTGTGGGTAAGACGAGAAACATTTGTATAGTTGAATGAAAAAAATTGCCATTTATGCCCAAACGAATGTTATTTTTATCCTCTGTCATCAAACTTTCTCAACTGTCATCCTTGAACAACTGCAGAATGTAATATTCTTAGCTACCACTTTGATCTAACCTTGTACACACATAATCCATGGTTATGGTGGTGGAAGTGGTGATTATTTCCCTCTTATGTTTAATGAATATGTAAGTAAATATTGAAACTCTTTATCTATTTTTCAATTCAAATTGATAAGTCGGTTTTTCTTTTTCTGATTAGAAAATAGATTCTTCCCCCCAAAATCCATTTATGAGCCAAAGCACCTTGGACTGTTTTCTAGCTTCATTTACATCTTCTGTAGTCAACTGGAGTACAAACTAATTGAATGTTGTTTTACTACCTATTTCCTTGAGACAAAGTTACATAAACTCTTTAATGACATTTAGATATGCTAATATTAACACAGAAGGTAGAAGAAATAATAGAACTAGCTAGTTGTAGAATAAGGAAGGAAAGCTTTTCAGAAAGATGATCAAAAGGAGTATTATATGAAGCAGCTATAGGAGTCGTGGGCAACATGAAAGTGTCAAATGCACTTGAACAATCTTTAGTTGACTATTTCTCTCTTCCTTAAAGAATTCATCTGCTGTTCCCTATGCATCTATTGGAATGTGAAAATGTGTATACCACTATAATCCACCTCCAAATTTAGTTATCAAAACATTGTTGTTTTTCTGTAATCTTACCATATTCTGGAACACCTATTTCACTTGACTGGAGGCACAGGTTGGGCAGAGTGAGGATTAACACTTAATTAAAATGTAAAAGTCTTCTGAATTAAAAGTCTCTTTTCTTTAAATATTCAATTTAAAGTTCAAGTTTACTCCTGGCACTGAGGAGTGGCAATCTGAGACCCCTAGCCTCAGCTGGATCCTGGTTGAAATGCAGCTCATCTTGCCTCACTATATCCACTGCTTAAATGCCCACAATTTGTGGCGCATTCTGTCAGCATGAGTAATGGTACAGTGACTGTGTCAGGAAGCTTTTCTGCCTTTGCATACTTACTGTAAGGCAGGATTCCTACTCCAGTTCTGAGTGGTGCCACTAACCCACTAAACTTCAGTCATATCTTCCAGCCAGCGCCTGACTTTGGCT